AAGTAGCTCCTTATTGAGGCCCTGTAACTGCCTCATCTCCATTTGCACGTTCAAAAAGAAAACCTGAGAGCGAGCCAGCAGGGCGAGGTCGACCTCCACCATGTCCACCGCATCACAAGTCTCTGCATACGAAGAGTATTTAGCAGTACTAAGTGTGAGCTAAAGAATCTAAACTTGCATTAACCTTGAATGACATTAAGTGTGACTTTTATACTTGAGCTGGATAAACGAGATTCGTCGGATGATAGGTCACATGGCCTCATCAGAATGACCTTCTTGTTGCACGCTGCATTAATGTTCTTCCATATGAACTTAGAAGTGTTCGCTTCAGTTATTTAGCTAACGGTTCTGTTTCGACCCACTTAGTGAAATATTCGATGGCGACAGTCGCATAGTTTGCACTCCCTTTTCCTTTTGGTATAGGTCATATTAGGTCGACCCCCCATTTGGTGAATGGCCAGGGGCTGGATACTACGGTTAGCTCTTGGGATGGCTGTCTTTAAATGGAGGAGAAGCATTGGCACTTGTCACACATTTTCACGAATTCTATAGCATCTTTTTTCAGGGTTGGCCAGTAGTTCCCTTGCCTTAGCACTTTATGGACCAATGTTGGCCTCAACCTCATCTCCTTCAGTGCAGCGTAGGAGAGAGGGTGAGAAGCCTCTTTTGTAAAGTACCTCATCTTGGAGTACATAATGGGCGGCTCTACATCTGAGCTTGTGAGCCTCTTCCTTGTCTTCCGGCAAGATGTAGTCCTTCAAGTAAGCTATAATAGGTTGCATCTATTGTGGGGTTCCTCCAACCCACGTCACATCTTCTACCTTGGCTGTGGAGGGCCGGGGAGGTATTCAACCGGTACAATTTTGAGCTGTTTCGAGTATTTGCTGCTGGCTAATTTTGACAGGGCGTCCGCGTGCAGGTTCTCCGTTCTTGGGATTTGGGTCAACTCAAACTTTTCAAAGCATGGGATCAGGTCCATAACCTTTTTCAAGTATGCTGCCATGCCTTTATCCTTGGCTACAGAACTACAGCTGACCTGGCTCACAACTAGCTGGGAGTCACTAAGAACTGCCAAGTTTTTTTCCTGCATTTCTTTGGCCAATCTGAGGCCCGTTAGGAGCGCCTCACATTTAGCTGCGTTGTTAGAGGTCTTAAAGTCAAACCTTATAGCATAATTAAGCTTGTACAGTTAGGGATGGCAAACAAATCCGACAAACCCGATACCCGTGGGGACCCGCCCCG